TTTTTTTATTTTGGCTCTTTTAGGTCCAAGCAGCTGCAGCAACACAACAAATGCTGGACATGTTTGATATAACAGGAATAGTCCATTTTGGCATTGCTGGAAACGTAAACAATTCCATGTCCATTGGAGATGTTACGATCCCGGAACAGTTTGCTCACACTGGCATTTGGGATTGGCTGGTACAAATTCGTCAATGCCTGTCATCTCTTCTCCATCTTTTTCTTGTTATTTTGTTCTTTATAAAAGAAGTATACACTTGACAGAATCCTAAAGGACCATTGCCCACCAATGATATTGCTGAATTGGACTTTGGAAGCTACAACGTACCAAAAGGAGATGGGATGAATCTGTTGGGAAAGATTGGATATAGTTATGAGCAGTTCTTTTCTGAGTCAGGGAAGCCTAATACTGCCATACCATTATTTTGGGCACAAATAAGCGAACAATGGCTTCAGCTTGCCGCTGGCTTGGAGGTTAATTATCTTGATTTGTGAATGTTGCTTCCTTTTCTATATATATATATATTTTCCAGTTTTGATGAATTTTTCAATCCTGATATACTCCAGGGGATGGAACTGGAAAGGTGTGTGAATTCAAGTGTGTGCCTTGCTCGAAAGCCTAAGCTAGTCGTTGGCCTCAGGGGTTCAACAGCCAATATTTTTGTGGACAACGCAGCTTACAGGGATTTCCTTTATCAAACTTATGCTGTTTCATCAGTGGATATGGAGAGTTTTGCTGTAGTTATGGTAAGATTCCTCGGTTTGCTCTTCAGTTTTGATAGTTCATTTTTCTTCTCTTTTTTGTGTCCCCATCTCCTCGCATAACGATGTCTACGTGAGGCAAAGAACATAATATGCATTATGAGAGCACCTTCTCAGCTTGTGTTCAGACCAACTGTGCTGCATAATAGCAAGCGATTAGATCCTTAGAAATGCAATGAAAGATTTAGGTTTTGGAGGACTGAATCTAACCAATTTGAGTGGTCTGACATTGTTGAAGTTTATTAGTAAATTGTCTAAGATGCTTGCCTTTTCAAACCAGACTGTTACAGTCGACAATTGTATTTTGCTCTTGAAGATATTTTAACAATTTATGGTGGTTTCCCAGACAAGCTTGTCAAACGGGCATCCTGTGATTGTCATCAGAGGGCTATCAGATTTAGCTGGAGGACAGACCGGACAGAATGCAATCCAGACATTTGGAGCCTTAGCAGCTCGCAATGCTGCCCAAGCTGTTGTCAAATTTATCGGATGTCTGTCTTAATACTAATCATCAACTAGCTTTCTCATATAATGTGTTACAACACTGCAAATTCTTCCACAAAGAACATATCTTATACCCACCATTAAAACCAACAATCAGTTTATTTTATTGCCAGTTGGGAGTGACTTGCGTGATATATTTGTCCATAGCAGCTTAAGTACAATCTTATGAATAAGTTGAAAGTCGCGAAGATAATCCATCTTTTGGATCTCAAGACAAACAATCATAATTCCAGATTAGTTGAAGATAGTATCATGCATACACATCGAACTTCTCCCAAAGAGAACATGCTAGCAACCAATCCTCAGGTGAGATCAACTGTATGCAGAACACGTAAAATAAATAAATAAAGGGTCTATTAGCATCAGTGAGAGCTGCCAAGGAATCAAAAGTTCAACATGGATTGAAGTAATACTCAGTAAAACGAGGAATGCTCATGACATCAAACAAACCTGTGCGAGCACGGTTGGAGAGTCCATACAACATTGATTGATCACTCCTCCAGCTTTCTTTAGAGGAAATCTGACAAAATCTGCCAACTGAGCAAAAACAAAGAGAGATTGAAATTCTCTTCGATGGAAGAAAATTAAGTAAAAGAGGATCCATTTAACATGAGAATTTACTCAGCATACCAAAGCAAGTAATACTAAGAATATCCATCTAAATCTCTCTTATCAAGCATTAGCCATGAGAGATACACAGAGAGCCAACAAAACAGACTTGACTTGACAGGACAGTTGTTGATGATACATGGCACGTGCAGACTCTTTTGTTACTGGAGATATGATACCAACACTCTACAGCCAATCTTTCATCTCTTCTTTGGAATCCATTTCCTCGTCATCCCCATGACTACTTTGAGTGCTCGAGCCTGGCAAAGCCTCTGCCTCACCTTCTCTGCTAGCATGACCATAACTCTTTAGCCTCCTTACACCTCAGAACATAAAGCCGCAGCCAAAACCAGAGCTATAAAACAACAACGGCTTAACTCAACACACTATACATAAGTCAAAACATAACTATTGCAGTCCTGTTACAAAGCTAGACATTCAGTCAAATATTCACTTCTCACATAATCTAACCAGTGCAACAGCCTGTGTACATAAAATTTCATGTCAAGTTACCTCAACTGCTATTGTTAAATAGAACAAAAAATGTCCACAAGCTATAAGCTTTCGGGGGGAAAAAAAATGATAAAAGAAATTACCATAAGAGCATTCAAGTCTTGAAAATGCCTCTTGCAAGCTCTTATTCATCCCTTTCCAAATTGAACCATCCACGTAAGAAGAACCTAACACCTATTTTTGGGAACCATCTCACCTTGTCCTTGTGTTCAGTCCATAATTTGTTATTGCTAATCTAGTTGCCCCAGAATACATGACTGTTCTCCAATCAATTTATAACAAAGGTCTATTTCATTTGGATAGGTAAAGAATTACGTAATTTCTAATCAGAATTCTTGTAAACGTTTTTTTTTTTCATATAATGTCACAATCCTGAAATGATTTCATAGCTTAATGTTAATCGTTATGAAAGTAGGAATCCGTGAACGAAATTTATCGTTAGATACTTTTTCGCTTCTATGAGAGGGTGCGCGCATAGAGACTTTAAAGGCCTTACAAATACGGGCTTGGAGTTAATTAAGAACAGGAGCCCACTTAAAGTTAAAACTGGCCCATTTAGCCCACTTAAAGTTAAAAATCACGCGTGATTTCCTTACCGTTATAATAGATACACGAAATATCTTGACTTTCCACTGAAATCTCCCAACTCTCCCCTTCCGTTTTCCTTTGTTTTGTTTGATGGCATTTTGCCCTGGGTTAGGAAATTCCGGTCCAAGATTACGGGCTGGTGCGCGGGCTCTAGTCGAACAATTCCAGCGACAATACAATACAAAACCTCCCCCCCTCTCTCTCTTAACGCCTGCCGAACGGTACCAAACGATCTCCTTAGTATTCTCTCTGTTTTTGTTCTATTAAAGATTAGGGTTTTGATGTTGTGGACTTGTGTTGAAATTATCAGCAATTCAATTTGCAAGATTTTGGGTCTTCGGCACCCGAACTGAAAGCAGAAAGGAAAACCGGAAAAGTTCTCCTTTCGCAATAATTTCAATGAAAGAAATCAATCGAGAAGATGTAACGAAACGAGGTGCTATGCCAGAGTGGATTAATTAAGGCACTTTTTGGCACTGAACTTGTAAGAAGGTGGATATCTTCACCTTTGTTTTCCTTAGCAGTTGGATTGTCTAGAAAGTTCGTCACATTATGAATGACGACGATTGACGGGGTTACAAGTATTTATAGAAGTGAATCAATTATCAATATGCTAGTTAACTTTATCCTTGATTATGAAAAAAATAAATAATAATTATATAATTATCTAAACTAGGTAATATACAAAGCATATATAAATTAATATAATCATTACATCATCTAGAATATTAGTCAGTATCTGCTCCATTAATCAACAGTATCTGCAATATCCATAGGGATCTACAACCGCTCTGTTATCTTCAAGATTCCTTCTCCACCTAGATCCAGTGAATTAACTAATCTAAACTTGTTGAGCAAACTATAAAACCGACTAGACAACAGAATAATATTGTGGTAGAACAGATTGAATATGTGGACGTAAGCATCAAATTGATTGTTGGACTGAAGCCCTCGGTTGACAAACTGATGGTTATGTAGTTAAAAATCCTTCACAAGTGCCATTCTTAAATTTTGTATTTTTTTGTTGTAGCAAATCGTAAGCTCCCAAATGTAAAAGATTTTACGTTGCAATGAGTGGTTGATGATACATTAAACTAAAACAAGTCTTTTTTCTACTTTCTTCTCTGTTTCTTTTCTGGGAAAAAAGAAAATGGCCAACACTGAGTCTTATAACAAACAGCAGATAACCGGCTAGCTGCTAATGCATGTTTATTGTACGCTACCCTATTACTCTCCCCCCATGTCAATTGCCAATCCTTGATCAATGGGAAATTAATCGAGGCTGATGATACTATAAATAATTTGTGCATATCCATGAAGAGAATCTCCAGATCACATTCACATAATGGTTGCCACTAATTCATAACATGATAATGACTTCCATTTCTTCCATATCACCAAAACTCTACCAAACCAAAGTTGTCTCCCTGGTAGTGCGTTGAACAAGTATTCTCTCACATTCAATCTGCTATTGGAGAGGAACATTCGAGAGCACCTTCCGCCAGCCATTGTTGAAGAATGTCCCCATAATAAATAATGAATTATACACCTGATCTATTTGTGAATTCCAAATGCACAAGTGCTTGGAAGTTGCGATTCATTCACATTACTTGATAGTCAGAAATTGACGATAGCCCACGCATTTCTATTTTGGTCGAGGATATGATGGATAGGTAGCGATTATTGAAAGCAAGCGTGCTATGCAATTGGACAATTTTGGATGGTGAGCTAGCAGGTGTTTGTGGCCTGAGATTTTCGGGATATTCTGGAGAGTAGAATATGGCATTGAGATGTACATTGGAAGCTAGATACGTATGATACTTCAACAATTTATTCACATTAATTTATGGCTTATTTTTTAGGAAAACATGTGAAGCCGGCTGCTAATTTTGATAGCAAAACACTACTAGAAAATTCACAAATGAACACACCAACAAAATGTTTTTTCAAAAAATTATAGTGAATTTTTCTGAATATACCTTTGTATTATCCATAAGTAAACACCGACAAAAATATTCTATTAGTATATTCCAAAAAAATTATAATGAAAAAATAAAATAGATAAAAAGTACAATGATATATCATTTACACTAATAAAAATACCAACAAATTTTAAAATACCAATATATACATTGACAAATTAAGACCATCGATATATTCCAGAAAATATTATAGTTTTTTATCTCTCAATTGTACAATTAATTATGTTCCATACATACATGATCACCGACAAAAAATAGGCATTGATATTTTTTCAAGAGCTAATGTAGTGTTCACTTCTTACTTGCACTATTATTACTGGTCATTGGGTACAGGATAATTGACAGACTTAAAAGTTGTTGGTGATAGTTGGCGGGTTTTTGAAAATTTTAAATTAAATTGAAAATTTCAATTTAATATTATAGACATAAACATTGACAGAAAAATTAAAATGTTAATTTTTAATTTTCTGATGGTAAAGACAGTGTTAATGCTTGGTATGTTAAAATATTTGATTAAATTAAAATTTTCAGTTAAACTTTATAGACAAATACACTAACAAAAAAACTAAAAATATTAATATTTAATTAGTTTTTAAAAACATCATTGGTAAAAAAAGATCCAAATTAAATGCATGTTTCTCTTCTTATCTCTTCCTCAACAACTTCTTCTTTCCTCATCTTGTCTCAAATCTTCATCTTTTTTTTTTTCTCTCTCCTCCATGTATTCTCTTCCTTTCTTTTCTCCTTTCTTCTTCTTCATCTTTTTTTCCTTTTCTCCTCTCTTCTTCTCATGTTATTTAATATAATTTTCAATTTTTCTCTCTTCTCAGGCTCGGGGAAACTCATAGTGATACTAATGTAAGATCATTCTTCTTTTTTTTTGTTTCTTTATGGTTTTTTTGTGTTTGTATTTTTCTGTTCATGAACGTTGTTGGAAATTTTTTTAATTTTTCTGTTTTAATTGATTGTGTGAATGTTGTTGGTTTTTTTTTTTAAATTTTAAATTTTATTTTTCTATTCTTTAATGATTGTATAAACGGAGACGAGATTACATATGAGTAATATGTATGCTTCATCTTATTTGCCCCACGGTCTCAGCGAAGACCCGCCTTCTCCTCTTCCTTCGACGCCTCTATTCTATATTAATTGTATTTTAATTTATGAATATTAAATTTATAACAAATATTTAACTTTTATATTAATCTAATTTATTTTCTATTTGTGTTTAATATTTTTTTAAATTATTATTAATGGAGTTACCAATAATTTAAGTCCGTTGGTATATTCAAAGAATTGAAAAAGAATTACTACAAATACCACTGCTACTGTTTACTGACCGAAAAAATAAGAGAAGGTTCATTTGATGGTTATATCCAAATTCAATAAAGGAAATACTAACAGGTAAAAAAACTCATCTATTAAATGACATACGGATTTTCTGTTAGTGATTTATTATATTCATCGATGGAAATCCTAATAGAATGAAGCTAGTAATTTTTTTTTGCATGCTTTGTCTGTCAATTAATTATTAGTAAAATTATTATTGATAGACTCAACGACATATCACAAATTACCGAGGAGAGTTTTTTCTGATGAATGATTTTTTTCTGTGAGCGGATTAAAAAAATTCATGCTAGGAGACTATGAGTATAAATATCAATAAAAAAATAAGTCAATAAATTTAAAAATTCTATAATGATTTAGTGCTCTTATCAACAAGAACACCAAAGTTGAATACTATTAGTATTTACTATTAACATGTTTTGTTCAAGAAAAAATATGGAAGAAAAACAAGAGAGGATATGTTTGAAAGCACAACCACTCTATGGAAGAAAAAAAAAGTTCTAGAACTCTTACATGGACTTGTTAAAGTATGCCATTGAAGGATGCGATGATCTGTGCATATGGAACTGAAATTCAATCTGTGCAAGAGTAGAAGACTACTGTTCAGTATAGCAACCACGCAGATGGCCTAACATTCTGCTAGCAGTGATGCTTTCATACACCGGAACAGACAATGGAACGCGGTTTTTAAGCACAGATCTATTTATTTATATTCAATGGCGGAAAGTGTAACCGAAATAAGAAAATATTGACTGAACAACCCAGTTTGTTGTGGAAGTTTAGCCCATTGTTAGCATCCACGCAGAGTAGAAAGATATCTGTGTACATAAATCACTACCGTTAGCGGATAAACTTACGCGTAAGGAGACAATCGTTAGCACAAATCACCGCAGGACAGCTACCAGTACATGGGAAAATTAATACGTGTACTCAAAAGTGGAGCTCAAATTAATATGAACAGAATGATAAAGAGTGGGAAATGCATGCTATTAGTCCCATTGCCGAAGTCAAATATTACAAGATACGGCTAAGTAAATAAAAGCAAAAGGTGGGGATAAAGCTTGTATTCTGTTGCTTATAGACAGAAACAGACAGTCCTTTGCGATCGTGATCGGAAATATAATTGGGGTTATTTTTTAAAATATTTTTTATTTAAAAAAATATATTAAAAAAATTATTTTTTTTAAATCAGTAAATTAAAATAATTTAAAAATATATTAATTTAAAATAAAAAAAACTTCAAATTATTTTAAAACACATTGCGAAACACTCGTAAAGACCAACACCCCACCACCGACGCCCACCACTGAAACAGAAACCCAAAGCACACGTTCCTTTCTACAACAGTCAAGATCACCAAGTGAGAGGTACTAGGAATTTAAGACACATTTCAAAAACCGTGTCTCGTTACCTTTACAATTAATGCCGTACTTTTCAAAAACCTTGTCTTGTCACCTTTACAATGCCTATATATACGGTTACCACTTCAAGCATTTCCAGTCAACAAAGCATACTGGTTTCTCATATAGCGAGTGGCACGCATAAACATACAGATACATTGAGCGGCGAGAGTATAATCTGGAAATGGCAAGCCCAAGAGTGTTAGGGACTGCTTTCCTGGTCTTGCTTATTTTAGACCTCACCTTTGCTGCTAGGACACTGCAGTCAATCAGTGGAGGTGGAGGTGGAGGGCAGGGAGGAGGTGGTGGTGGTGGTTCTGGATCAGGACTCGGGTCAGGTTATGGTTCTGGGTCTGGATATGGGAGCGGTGAAGGATATGGTGCTGGTGGTCATGGAGGAGGTGGAGGCAGAGGCGGAGGCGGGGGCGGGGGCGGTGGCAG